TGCGGATTTCACATCGATTCAGACGCAAGGTTACACGCACGAGAGGAGTGCTTTCTTCGCAAGCATCCTTCCTTTGCAGTTGTGCAAGAGGCCATCCGACCAACAGCAAAAGTTTTGGCGCGGCTATTTTGCCGAGGTATCCTTTGCTACCAGTTAGTGTGCTGGACGTGGCTTGGAGTCTTCCGGTTCCACAGAAGAATCGAGCACACACACAATAATAAAGAATGCGATCAACCATCCATTCTTGTCTGTTCGTAATCCTTCCGATTGGAGACCGTAATAAACCACCAAGGTGGAAGCGTGACCTCCATGCGCAGGGCCTTCCAGTCCCTCTGCGTCGCCTGTGACGCCACCTGGGGCCTATGTAGTCCAGAGAGAGAAGTAGACAGCGATAATGAGAGCAAACAATGGTTTGATGATGTGGGCCTGCCCCGCTTTGAGCTCTCCCTAAAGCCGGCCATTGGAGCACACTCGGTTACGTTTGTGGAAAGGGCCGACGGTACATACCGATTGCTACAAAAATTATTCAAATGTTCACTGGGAAGAAATCGTTTGACCAGTCGCCTCTGTATGAAAGCGAGGTTGCTGATGAGGATTGCGATAGAGGTCTTTATACAATTATTCACGGATGTTGCCGGCTGCTTCGTGTGAAAATCGTGGCTGTGCAGCAGCCGCACTCTGCAATACCCGAGCCTTTCTGGTCTTCAGAAAACCCTCCCAAACGCCACCCGAACCAAATCATCCCGAAATTAGCCGCGCGAGCTGCACCATCGACGATCGAGGCCAGAGGGGGTTGGTGTGTTTGCTGTGGCGGAATCGGGACACTCCGCTCGGTCCCGGAAAGACGAGCCGGCCTCCGGCTCAGCCCGATTTTTGCGGCCTGTATTTTAAAGAACCGCCCGGCCCCAAACGCTCAACCATCGATCGGTAACCAGAGTAAATACCCACAAGGCTGAGTGAGAAAGAGAGATGGCGACGTTCTCCGACAGCGACTACAACAGCGACGGATACCGCAGCAACAGGCCGGACTACGGCCCAGGCCTCTACTCGCTGATCCGCGACTACCACTGCGGCGGCGACGGCGGCGGCGGCGCGCTTGACATGGCAGCGGACGTTGCGTGCGGGACGGGCCAGGCGACGGTGCACCTCGCGACGATGCTTGGCGTCAAGACGGTCGTTGGCATCGAGCCGTCCGAAGCAATGCGCAAAGGTACGATCCCCAACAGCATTTGCCTGCCTGCAATCGCGTTGCATTGTCCCCTAACCAACGGATCTTGGCGCAACCCACCAAAAGCCGCCGCGCGGCACCCCTCCGTCACCTACGTCGCCGGCACCGACAGCACAGCGGCCACCGCGACCGGCCGCCCGCCGCACTCCTTCGACCTCGTCACCGCCGCCCAGTGCGTCCACTGGTTCGCCATGCCCGCCTTCTTCGCCCAGGCCGCCCTCATGCTGAAACGCGGCGGCCGCGGCACCCTCGCGTTCTGGGGCTACCCCGTCGGCTACATCAAGAACTCGCCGCGGGCGTCCGAGCTGTTCCGCGACTACTTTTTCAACAGGCTCGGCCCACACTGGGACCCGCGGAGGCGCCTGCTCGACGCCGCCTACGAAGACGCCCGGTTCGTGCCGACCGCCGGGTTGTTCCGGGACGTGCAGAGGTGGGGTATTTGTGAACAAAGAATTGTCTCAAAAACGGTTCTGAACCAAATACGGCCCTTTCTGTTTCGAAAAAGGATAACCATCCCGTCCGCGCACCACCCTCTCCCCGTCATGCGCCGCACCTGGACCCTCGAGCAGCTCGCCGCGTACTTCCGCACCGCCTCCGCCTACAAGACCTACCAGGGTGCCGTCGCCGCCGACGCCGCCGCGAACCCGCCAGCCACCGACCTCGTCGACGCCGTTGTGGCCGAGATCGCCGATGCGCTGGGCACCGACGACAACGGCGCGCCTCGCACCGTTGACGTCGAGTGGCCTGTCATTCTGGTGCTTGCGCGGGCCGTGTGAGGGGCGTGCGTCGCGGTCGAGGCAGAAGGTTGAAGGAAATGGACCTGCGCGGCCTAAAGTGAGGAGCCGAGGATGGGGCACCGACGGATTGGCGGATGTATCCTCTGTAATCCCGTCTAACGCTGAGATCAACCACATGAGATAAAAGATTACACCCTCACCAACGAGGAAAACGGAAGCGCTATTGGGTTACCCGTTGGGGACAAAAAAGAAAATGTCATATAAATATCCTGTTTGGAGGCTAAAGAGCAATCCAAAAATGACTCGTCCTTCTTCCCACCCATACAACCTGTTCTACAACTCGTGGGCAATGAGGTTGATCGGGTGAGAGGAGATGATCGTAGGAACAAAAAGATTCAATGACTGGGAGCGACTGGGTAGAAGGCGGGAAATATGCACTGCAATTGCCTGCGTTGTCGACGGCACGGCCCACAATACCAGGTGGAGGTAGGCGCAGATTCACCTTTCACCTGTCATTCTTCAGCACATGCACTGGGTCATGTGTGTTTCATACCGCTCACCTACATTTGCGAACCCCTTTCGCTCAAACGAAAATGCGCAACACAGCTATTGCTAACGCCGGCGTGGCAGCAGCCTCAGAGGATGCCAAGAACGGGCTGCCAGTTGTTCGCAAATTACTCCCATTCTTTCATCTCTGTTCGGATCCCGCAGCTTGGCCGTCGCAGTGGAATCTGAGAAGAGATTTCCTCTTAACAATCATCAGCATTAACTTTTTTTTTGCCCGTTCTTTCTCCTTGTGCCTAGAGACAAAGCGCAGACACAAGGAACAGTTAGTGTGCAGAGGTGCCTGTTGAACCAAATCAGAACTGTTTTCCACTTAACAAAACCAGACACAACTTGTCTCACTCCAAGGAGAGTGTTCCAACTCAATCTAAGGAAGAGGGTGCAACCAGGGTGGGAGACAGGACTCTTCGTGCTCCATCGTACCAGGAGACAGAGGGTGAAGCCAGGCCCACCAAAAGGGGAAAGGAACCATCACCAGGGACAGGGAGGAATACCAGAGAGACCATACCACCACATAATACCTGACCAACCAACTCATTCATATCACCTTGAGAGACCTGGATTTGAAGCAATGTCAGCGAAAATCGCGACGGGCCGTTCAAAGGGGTCGTCACAATCTCAATTTTTTTTTCTCGGACATTTTCGCAACAACGGCGCTTATGTCGCAATTTCGTGGGGCTCCGTTGTTCAGGTCCTTCATTTTCTTGTGCTGATGCCACCCTTCAGTCGATTTTTGGAGAACTTAGCTCCTCTCCCATCAAAGGGAGTGCTCTACACAACTGAGATGGAGGGCCTCTTGCCAGTAGCGCAGAGCAGATTCAGATGCGACTTAGTGCATATTGATAACATGAATAATATACATGGTTGCGACTAAGAGACAGCCCAAATCTCAGTGGTTCGGCTTACAGGGACGATAATAACCATGAAAGTAATGAGTCCAACCATGTTATGTTGCTTTTGTGAAGTGTTGTTTGGCCAAGTCAAATTGATAATCCTCACGAGTAATCAGTTAAAAAAGTGGGGTATACTCTGTTTATTTGAAGTTACAGGCTCAACAGCCTTGTCGTCCTCACATCAGATTCCAAGTGTGGCGTCTCACTCACAAATCAGCGAATGCCTAAACTTACATTGATAGAACCATAGAGAAGAAGCTTTTCTCTTGGAACGATCCTTCAGAGATTTTGGAGGAGGATAGCCGTTGGAATCTCAAGCAAAAGCAGAGATCCATGCGAATTGATCCCTCTGTGATGCCAACCCCAACCCCTCAAACTTGTGCAAGACAAAGGCAAAAGCATTGCAGCTTGTTCTTGCTCCAGTCTGAGAACGCAATGATGTCTTTTCATGGGGAGGATGTGCAGATGCAAATGTGGGCACAGCAAATTAGGCAAGGGCAGTTGGGCAAATCGTTGGATCTTGAATAACAAGGGAATTGTCTGGTGGAACAAATTTTTCTGTTTTATTGAAAAACAACTGGCCAATCAACACTGGCTTCTCTCGAAACCGCTTCTGGGAAAGTGGTCACAGGCCGAGGATTCGTCTCCTCCCGATTTGGATGCGAGCACCATCAATCAAATCACGAGCTTTCTGCTCAAAAGGTCAAAAAATTGAGTGACCTTCCAAATTTTTTTGCCCAATTTGGAATGGAGATCGGTTTTGAGGGTTAGGGTTACCCTAAGGCTGGCTCACCATTCGCCACAGCTGTCTGTCACCCCTGCAAGGCATACACACACACACTGCTCAGTCATTGAATGAATTCATTAAACATCTCAGTGCTACCTTGCGTATATGCCCTTCCTTAGCGCTGCTTTTGTTCAACTCTCGACCAAGCTACTGGAGGGCAACAAGAAGATTACGCCTCTTGAAATTGCAAGGAGTGGAATTTCGTTTCAAAGTCGTCAGCTGGGGTCAGAGGAGCAGGTATTAGTGGATATTCTCTATCTCCTTTTTCGGACTATGGCAGCCTTGGCCCTTAATTTGAGGGTCCACTATTGACAGACTTTCACACAGACTGCAACTGAGAATGTAACAGGTGCCGCTCGAATGTATCCACAACAGAAGACAGCCACCGACTCGGCGAGGAAGAGGTGCTGTCAGTGAGTACCTGTCATCCGGAGCTTGCAGTCACAAACTAACTCTGTCGCCCACAGGGTATCTCCTCCATGGGTCGCTCTGTTTACTCCAAGGCCCCTTCATGGGCACTTCAAACACTGCAATCATCATTGATTTGCAACACAATGGACAAATCCAGCAGATATAAAAGGCCCAGCTCGATAAAGCGGTACTAGGTTCGCAACTCGCTGCATTCACATACACATGTACACCTCTGTCATGACTAACTTAGTCACTGTGAAGTGCCGTTCTCCAATTCAGAACAAATCGCAAATAAGATCATCGGTCGCGAGGTGACTATACTGAGGCACATTGACCAGGGCCTTGTAAGTGCACGGCTATCGTCGGGATTCCATTGGCAACACCCATGCAGGGGGTTGAACCCTGGACCTTCTCCTTTCGGACGGGATAGAAGGGAGACGCAATACCACTTTGCTACACGGGTTAGTGCACGCGAACCTGTAAGCGCACTCATGTTTGAAAGCAATACTTCGAGGTGAGGAAACGAGATCAAAGGAGAGGCAAAAAGTCCGAGAGAGTTTAGAGTCGACCGACGGGCGCGAGAATCGACAAAAAAACGGGCAGGGCGGGGCCGGGGAAACGACACGGCCGCCAACACCGAAAAAAAACCCTCAGGGGAACCATTAAGGCCAAAAGAAAAGCCACCGCACCAGCTCTTCACTCCCTCTTCGCCCTGCCCCTACCCCCGCACCCCCTCCCCCTCCACCCGCCATCTTTTCGCTAATACCCTTCAATAATCCATCTCCACGCTCTGGAGCAAAAGTGCAGAGTGATGTGAGACTATACTTACTCCTTTGACCCTGGAATACAGGCCTTAGAGTGAAGGAAAGCAAACAACAGGCCAAAACTAACTTTATGTGGCTGATGTCTAGGAGTGTTTCAACCCAACTACTTGCCTAGTCCATGAAGTATCCTTACTCCTCTGTCTCACAGGGGTCTCTACACAAAGAGTAGAGGTTCAAAGGGGCAATCCTCTGAGGATTGGAGCAGGAGCACTGATGACTTGTGTGGCCACAGGCTGGTGTAAGGGGACACAGATGGGCGCTCCTGAGGGCACAACACAACTACAGAATAAAACAGAGAAGAGGGTAACAGGGGTTTTATCTTGCAAGTAGCCTCATCTAAAACACAGCAGTGGTGCAGTGGGACAGACAGGGTGCAGCCGGCACCCCTCACTGTGCAAGCGCTGAGGAATCTCCGTTGTCGCCAGCGACAGGGACGAACAGTTAGTAGCCGGACAGTGGGACAGACACGTCTCGGCCAGCGACCCTCACCAAACAGCAGCTGAGGAACCATTGTCATCACCCGTCCCGTCACGACCCAGTGCCCCTCGTCACTCGGAAAGCTGAAAGACACTTGCTGGGCATGGCAAAGGGGGAGAGAGGCGAGTTGACTATGTAGTGGTTGGAAGGTACGTAGCTGGGAACTCGATTTCGGAAACACCAGCAACCGCACAGGCACCCCACTGTGCGCCATTGGTGCGGTCACTCAACCGGCAGGTCACTGAAAAAAGAAAATATGTCAGGAAAACCCTGGTGCAACAGAAACTGTAAAGACAAAAGAAGCAAAAGCCGTCCCCGTAATAAAGATGGTGTTTGGCGGAACTGACTGGTTAGCAGCAAGAGGCACAAGATGGAGCCAAACCTATTGTGACTGTCAGTTATTGTTCTCACAATACCAATGGGAGAGCAAGCCACCGCCAATGCAGACCCGGATGCTGGCTTGTGCTGATGACAAATACTTCGAGTATTAAGTGGAACAGAAACCCAGTGTTAACAGTTTTCCTCCTCCTCTGCTCAAGCAGATAATACAGGAGAGGTTTTTACCCTGTGCCAGTCACGCTTGCCTAGCAACTATTACAGTGTGCATATCATCATTATGTATCAATTATTCATAACAGAGTTTTTTTCTCTTTCTCTCCAAGTTGGGGAGAAGGACCACCCGCAAACGCACATCTCCACTTCATTCACTCCTTCCCTCACTCACACAGAGTAGACTGTTTACAGATGGGTTAGCCACAAATACACTTTGATAACCCCTTGGACACTAAAGAACTGGGAATAAAAATAATAGAGGTCCTGATCCTTGCAGTTTCTGACAAGTGTCCTTGTTTTTGCCAATAAAAACCCCAGAGTTATCACTGAGACCTTGGTGTACTCTCACAGCGAAGTGAAAGTACAATTCTAAGTATTGCTTTCTTTCTTGTTCGATCTGCAATCATTTCTTCCTATTTTTACTTACACGTTTTATTGTTGCTAATATTCCCCTTTAAAGCAAAACTCGTGCTATCCTCAACGGCCGCGGCCTGCCAAAGATATGAAGAGGACGGGCTCTTGCCTTGGGCTCTTCTTGGAACGGTGAAGTCGCTCAATCAATAATCCGCGGTCTTTTTTTTTTTTTTTTTTTTTTTTTTTTTTTTTTTTTTCTTTGGCCGTGTTCCAATAAACGCCGTTTTTGGACAACGATTTGAGCCGATGAGGTGAGGGAAACGAGAAAAATGAAAGAAAAAAGAAAAAGAAAAGAAAAAGTGAGAAAAGGTCCGAGATGGCGGACGAAAAGCGGGGGAAGGTTCCGCAGGCAAACAAACGAGGGGGGCGGTGGTGAAGGGGTACGGTAAGAAGGGGACGCACAACAAAAAAGACTCGGCGGAACACCTCACTCCCTCTTCGCCCGGCCCCGACCCCCCGCACCGCTACCCGCCGCAGCAGCACCACCGCCCCGCGCCCGCGCCCGCGCTCCCCGCCGGTAATGCGTCCACAGCGCCGCCAGCGTCGCCGCCGCGTTGCCGCCGCCCAGCACGACCAGCAGCACCCCGGCCACCAGCGCCTGCCACGACGAGCGACCCGCGCCCGGCCACCACCACAGCGCCAGGCACAGCCACCCGTTGTACGCCTGCCACGCCTGCCCGACCGCCAGGAACGGCACCAGCAAGCCCACGCCCGTGCCCGACGGAGGAACGCTGCCGCCGCCGCCGCCGGCGGTCTCCCCTGCCGCGGCGGCGGCCGTTGCCGTCGTCGCCGCCGCTGTCGCGCTCGCGGCGGACACCTGGCCGCTGCCGCCCTCGCCCGTGGACGCCACCGCCGCCGCCGCCGCCGGGGCGCCACCGCCGGACCCGCCCGACTCGTCCAGCGCCACGACCCCGCCCGCGCCGCCCTCGCCGCCGACCGTGTCCATAGCGCGCGCGCGGTCCATCGCGACCAGCGTGTACAGCCGCCGCACCTGGTACCGGAACTGCAGGTACTGCACGGCGCCGAGGTACGCCGCGAACCCCAGCAGCGACCTGACCACCGCGCCGACCCTCCTCCCGTCCTCGTCGTCGTCGTCGTCGTTCGTCCCACCAGTAGAACCAGCGGCGGCCGCGGCTGCAGCCGCAGCCGCAGCAGAAGCCCACAGCTGCGGCCACCACAGCAAAAAGTCCCCCAGCAGCACGACCGACAGGTACCGATGCGCGAACCACCACCAATGGATCCTGCTCCCGTTCGCGCGGAGCAAGTGCTCGCGCAGCGCGACGGTCGAGTGGTACGCGAGGTCGGCAAACAGGAACGCGGCGGTCAGCAGCGGCGACGGCAGCGCGGCGGTGGGCGGGAGGGCCAGCGCGAGGGACGCGAGGAGAGTGAGGACGAGGGTCGCGGTGAGCTTGAACAGCTCGGTTTCCTTCTTGTACCGCAGCCGCTGGGTGTAGGGGCGGATGACAAAGGGCGCGGACGCGCCGAGCGCGAGGCGGAGCAGCCGGTGCGCGGGTTTCGGCAGCGTCCCGTCGATTCGGCCGTACCGCCGTTGCACGGAGTGGGTTTGCTCGGCGAGGTAGGCGCGCGCGTCGGCGGCGGTGTCGAGGGGCCGGAGGAAGGACATGGCGCCGCCGGGGGAGTGGGAGCGCGTCGAGGCGCCGGGGGGGAGGAAGGATGGGCGTGGGCGCGAGCGGCTGCGGACAGAGAGGTCGCGGAGCTGCTGCTGTTGCTGACGCGCGGCGGGTGAGGAGGAGGAGGAGGATGCGGGGCGCGGGGAGCGGCTGCTGCTTGGTGGCGGGGTGGAGAGCGCGACGGACGCGGCGGCGAGGTACTCGCGCATGGTGGCGCGGTGGCGCGCGAGGTCTTGGATGCAGGCCGACTCTTCCGAGAGCACCTTTTGCGCGAGGGCGTTGGCGGCGGCGGCGCGTGCCTGATTGTTGTTGTTGTTGTTGTTGATTGTATTTTTTTTTTTTTTTTTTGTTGGTAGAAGGTTGTTTAGGCGGGGTGAGATGTTTTTGTGATGCAGAACGAGTCTGTCAGGTCAGGCCCGCAGCGGCGGACGGATGGATATAGCGAGGGAGACGACAATGTTCCACAGCGCACGTTGATTTCTTTGGCAGGGACCACGGCCGGGGGGGTGGCGAGCAGAACAGTTTGAAGTCGAGGTGGGACGGGGTATGAGGACGGGCAGACTGGGCGGGGGTCTCGTCACGCCACCCGTTCGCGCCCGGGTTGGTGAGGCTGCCCACGCGACGACGATCGATGGCAACGGGAAAAAAAAGGGAAAAAAAAAAGAAAGAAAGACAGAGAAGAGAAGTGGAAATCAATACCTCGAGCACACGCAGTTGGTTAAGCAGGGCGTCGCCGTGGCGCACGGCGGCGAGGACAGCGGCGTCTTCGTCGTCGCCGTCATCGTCGTCGTCGGCGTTGTCTCCGTCGTTGTCGGCGTCCTTACGGCCGTCGTGGGCGGCGGCATCGGAGGCGGCATTGGCGTCCTCGTCGCGGTCGTCGGCAGGACGGCTTGCTGCTGCTGCTGCTTCGCTCATTTTTTTGGTTTTTTTTTTCTACTTTTTTCGTTTTATTTTCTTTGGTTCTCTTTCCCTTTTTTTGTTTCATTTTTTTGTTTTGGTCCTCTCAATCTCTCTCTCTCTCTCTCTCTCTCTCTCTCTCTCTCTCCCTCTCTCTCTCTCTCTCTCCCTGTCTCAAAATCAAAAAAAAAAAGATGACAAATCTGTTTCTCCTAATTGCCCACCCCACCCAGATCGATCCGCACACAGAACTTTCCGCCCCTTCCCTGCAAAATAAACACTCTCAACCAAATTCAAACACAATTCAAAACTCGTACTGGTACTCGGCCGCAACCTCCCACCGCGACCCGGGCGCCGCAGCCCCCACGTACTTTACAAACTTGAGCACCCCGGGCTCGCGCAGCGCAAGGCTCAGCGCGTTCGAGCTCGCTGACACCGACAGCAGCGCGCCGCCGTCGCCCGTGTTATTCTTGCCGCTCGCCTTGCCGTACCCGCCGTCGTCGGCTGCGCCACGGTACTGCGCCGGGTCGTCGTTGCCCTCGTCCGCCGCCATGTAGCACTCGAACCCGCCCACGTCGTCCGACGCCCACACCCTCGCCGCTCCCGCGCTGTCGTCGCGCACAAAGCACAGCGTCGCGTCGAGAACTCCAAGAGGCGGTTCTTCCTCT